GAATAACATATTCTTGAAATAAGTTCTATCTTTCTTCTTAAAGTCAGTGCATATTAATACAAATTAGTAAATTTAAAACATAAAACATGTAGTAGTCATGTTTAATCGAGAATTCTTTTAATAAAAGTGATATTGATATAATAGTTCAAGTTCTCGACAACCAAAATTACATTGGTTGTGATCAATTTTTTCTTTTAACCAAGCTATTCTGAACTTACATTACAACCAAATAAGATCATAACCCTATTTTTTAATTATTTGAATATAGGAATGGATAAACAAATTGATGAATAGAAACAAAACTAAGAAGGTAATTAATTACTTGATCCACACGCCATTTATTCTTTGTTGGTCATACATAGTAGAAGTTGAAGTTTGATTTCCGGAGAGATTAATGTTACCTAATTTTCTTACTTTTCAGCTAAGGTACAGAAATATGTCTTCTTTTCAACCATTTTGTTTTCTGTTTCATCAGTACAGTAAAGCAAGCCGTTTATTTTTAGCCACCTTATACATTTTTATTTTTCCTCTTCTCGTTCCATATTCCTACCTGTGTTTGGCAAACCTAGGCTTAAAACATTATTAGGTCACTTTAATTTTGCCTTTGACTTTAAAATAGCCTTTATATACAATTAATCATATATGCCGACCCATATTGCAAATTAATAATTTCTCAGCATGACTATATTATTGTCGTAAGATCGCGATGATTTGTTAGTCATTGAGTTTATGGGAATTTAGGGGAGGAAGGCTTAATTTTATGGAATAATATACTGTAATTCCACCAAAAAGATAGGCTACACACAGTATTTAGTTTTTGAAGAAACGTAAAAAGTGTCTCAAACAAAGCAATGTGAATTGGACGTATGTTTCGTATGCATGAGTAAAGTTTCATATGAACGTCAAATGAATAGTTACTAACTTATTGAATGAATTAGGTTTCTATCCTTATACATCATACATGATAAAATTAAACGTAGGACGGTTGATGGTTAATAATATCAACATGTTTGGTATTAGAAAGCTATTTATATCGTGAACCTGATTGTGCTTTTGATATTGGACAACTTTGTCATTCTACCTTTCTCTTCTATCTATTTTTTTTTAACATATATATATATATATATATATATTGTTTTGAAGATTTGCATTAGATATTACACATTAAATAATTTTTTGAATAGGGAAAAAGGGATTGTAAAGTTTGAAAGAAAAAACAATGTTTAAAACAACAGTTGAACAATCATCAGAATTTTTTTGGTAAACATGTAATTATTTTCAAGATGCAATTGTAATGAGATAACTGATGGAGAAATTTTGGATAAGATGAAGTCACATATCCTCCACATTTTCTCAGTTGGGATACCCATATGGCATATTGATATATTTTAATTTCATGAATAACAACGTTATTTTCACCCTCAATTCACCCAAAAATAAAAATAAAAATAAAATACAATAACTCTATCATATCATTTATATAAATATTTATACAGATATTTAGTAGCTCTTACAGTTGAATAGATTTCTGCATTTATATGACAATCATAATGGAAAGATGAGAATTATAAGGTACAACCCAAAATTAAAAAGCCCAACTAAAAACCCCAAAATAGGAATTTGGAATTTTTTTTCAATTTCATTTTACTTTAGGTAAGAAATGACTAGCAACATATTTGTATCCACATTTTCATGCTTGCAGTTTAAAAATAGTAAAATTACAAGCCCATTTGCTATTAGGCATCTATATTCCTCGACTGAAAAAATTCACTTTTGACTTTGTATGCAATTTACCGTTCAGATTAATATACAATGTAGGAGGACTTTATTTCCATTAATGAGGAATAGAAACTTAATCTTGTTAAGTAAATTTCTACTCCAGTAAATGCAAAAGGGGCTAATATTCTTTACTAATGGGGTGTTGAAGCAACTGATTCATCTCGAAGATCATATGTATAAGAGGGATGTTGGAGGAGTGGGGGGGGGAGATTGTTGGAACAACTGATTCATCTCGAAGATCATATGTATAAGAGCGATGTTGTGTTCCTTTAAATTTTACATTTAATCGAAAAATTATAAATTAGTCTTTTCGATTAGCCTCTTGTCATAGATAATTGTACAGACAATAGTATAATGATGACATCTATGATTTGATATTTTTCATACTAATTTTCAAATTTTGATATTAATTTTTAGAGGAAATTTCATAGAATGTCCAATTTCACCTAGTCATTTGCAAAAATGTCCACATTTTTTTCTAATGTCCATTTTCGAATTATTTAGACAAAAATACCCCTGTTAGGAAATTCTATTTCCACGCCCAAGGCAAGAATCTTGGTTCATTTCACCCCAAATTAACCCAAATTTCATAACCTTCCAGTTCCAAATCGATTACGGGCCCGTATGGGATAGCTTTTCAGAAGCCAAAAGGAGCTTTTGTGGTCTAAAAGTGCTTTTGAACCTGTTTGGCTAATTTTATAAAATGACTTCTACTAATTGAAAGAGCTTTTAAAAGAAGTCACTTTGGAGTGGCTTCTTCTAAAAGCTCTTCCACAAAAAAGACGGGAAGCCAGTTTCTACTTTAATGAAAATTTTAAATTCCAATATTACCCTTACATTTGTAAAGAACAAAATGAAATTCCAACCATGTCCTAAGAAATCACGACCTTTTCAATTCTCTTCATTCTTCTCCAATCCCATTCTTCAGTCTACAGGAATTCCTCTCCTCTCTAGGTAAGATTTTGCAATTTACCTTCAATTTCTTATCATTTTATTTTACAATAACATTATTTATCTACAACACATGGGTTAACTACAATAGATTCGTATCGTTGCCTTTTAATTTTTCTTTTCTGGGTTTTATTCAAGAAATGACGGGTTTAATGTGTATTTATCTGGGTATTTTAATGTGCCTTCGGTTTTAGAAGATGGGTTTGTGATTGGGTATTTCCTGTTCATCTACATGTAGCCGATTGATGCTCCGGTAGAAATTTCTTTTATCATTGACATTTTCGTTTTGCCGTATACATTTCATTTTCTTCGAATTTCTTGCTTCCGAGTGCTGCTGAGTGGGTTTAATAATAAATGCTTGTGCCGTGTATTTATATATAAAGTGAGAAAGCAGAGCTTGGGAAAATAATTTTTAAATGATTGCAACAATGGATTTAGCATGAAATCAGTAAAGACAAACTGAATTTTTGTAGATATATTGCTCATTCACAAGGGTGGGTGGGTAGGGGTGAGGGTACAAAAAGAAAGTTAAAAGTGAGTGGAACCCATGTGTTGTGAGGGTGAGGGTGCATGAAATCAGTAAAGATACCCCCCACCAACGTTTTTTAGTTGCCATAATTAGTGGAACCAATCAGTCCATCTTCTAACTTCAATTTAAATACAATTTTGCATGAATATGTCTCCAACATTCCTTGGTTCAAATATGTCCCTGTCTCTCTACATTTCTTGGTTCAATTCTTACTAAATACGTCCCTGTCTCTCTACATTTTCTGATTGAATCTCTGGTATATTCAACATTTATAAAGCAAGAATATTGAGGAACAATTAACTGTAAATAAAACATTTTTAAATGTAGATGGCAACCGAGGGGATAAAGGGAAAATCAAAAGCAATTTGGGATGCACGAACACATGAGATTTGGGTTGATGTAGCTGTAGAACAAGTGAGGGCTGGTAACAGAAATGGAACACACTTGAGCAAAGAGGGTTGGAAACTTTTTACTGAGAACTTTAACAAAGCAACAAATAGAGATTATGATAGGAAACAACTAAAAAATCATTGGGATGTAGTAAAGAAAGAGTGGCAGCTATGGGATGCATTGTTAAGAGGCGAAACTGGACTTGGTTGGGATATGGAAAGGCAAACTATAGATGCTCCAAATGAATGGTGGGTTACAAAACTACAAGTAAGTGTTTGAATTTTCTTTATTTAAGTATAATACACCCAATTATGTTAATATTTCTAAAATTGTAAATTATTTAACAGAAATATCCGGAAGCTGCAAAATATTGTGTGAAGGGCTTAGATCATGCATTCAAATTAGATGAGTTGTTTTGCGATGTCACAGGGCTTGGGCACCTACATCTGGTGTAATGCATCCTTTATATTCACAAAATACAACGATCACTGAAGATGATGATTCTGCTGAAAATGAACAATTTGATGGTGACCATGAGGAAATAGGGTATAGCAGTCGCCAAGATAAAGTGGTTGAGCCAACTAGGAAGCGACTAAGGAAGGGAAAAAATAAGCAATCAACAACAACAAAACTATGCAACCAACTTGAAGAACTTCGTGAAGCTGTAAAAAATTGGAGCTCCTATATACGCACCGATCCACCTGGATGTAGTGTTCAAGAGGTTATGGATAAGATGGCTATACTTCCAGGTTGCGAACCAATGACTCCTCTTTTCAAGCTAGGATTGGGCCTATTCACAAAGAAAGCAAATAGAGAGATTTTTG